CCTGTGAATAAGCACACTGACGATGCGCGGCTCGAGCTGGCTTGAAGCAGCATCCTCGGGGAGGACAGGGACATCCTTCCACCTGCTCTGCAAACAGTGGGCAACAAGGTCTCTTTGCCACATGTCATTGCCTTCCCAGGAGCCCTTTATTTTGATGACAAAAGACTCTCATCATGCAACCTGAACAAGGCCCAGGAGCTGGTCCCGTCCAACACTCTCATTCAGAATTGACTGAGATCCTTCACAAGGGGCCATGGTGGTGGGGCCTGGCCACATCCCAGCTCCCTGCGAGCTGTCTCGCCAGCTCTTGGCAGGCGGAGCCTGAGCTGCTGGCCACTCTGATAACGCAGCTGGTGAGCTGGGGAAAGAGACGCAGAAGCAGAGAAGGGTGTATGACCAGTGGGGCTGCTGTCGGGAAGACAAAGGGTCAGAAACAGCAACTCCTGAAAGCAGACCAAGCTTTTTAGAATTTTCATTCCACTCAAGGGTCTACTTGGGGGGTCTTTGCACACGCCGCCCTCTCCCCTGAACTGCCCCATCTTGGATGACTTTAGGACCAAGATCAAGCCTTGTTCCCACGGTGCAGCCTCTCTCCACCCCCGGGCAGAGAAGACGCTCCTGCTCCACGCAGAGGGACGAGCGCAGAGATCCGGCCTCGCTGCACGCGTAGCAGGTGTCAGGCACTACGCGCCATGCTTCGGATACCTTCTGTCATCTCATGCACAGGACCATCTGCAGGGCTGAGTTTGCTGGCCCCATCTTACAAATCAGGAAGCTGAAAGTCAAAGACACAAGTCACTTGGGTAAAGGAACAGCCAGTAAAGGGTGGAACTGGATTGGTCAAAAATCAAATACAGAGTGTCCCCACAGCACTCGCTCCGTTTCTCACAGAGAGCTGATTGTGTGGGTTTAGATGTGTCTGTCCACAGATCGGTGCCTCTGGGCAAGTCCCCTCTCGTCCATCTCCCTGCCCATCCCGGCTCTACGCAGAGTAGGTCTGGAGTCCTCTGACCAAAGGGCCCAGGCCCGCTCAGACCCTGCATGTCCCCCACGTCCTCAGGTTCTTGGTAACAGGCTGTTCAAAGGAGAGCACCTTGCCTTGCCATGTTTGCTTAGCATCCTTCCAGAAAAGCTCTTACTAAATCATGATATACCATTAAGATGATTACTTAGAGGCCTGGTTGGTGTGGCTCAGTGGATTGAGTGTTGTCCCAGGGACTGAGAGGTCCCGGTCTGACTCCGGTCAGGGCACATGCCTGGGCTGCAGGCTCCATCCCCCGTAGGCGTGCAGGAGGCAGCCGATCGATGTTTCTATCTCTCTCCCTTCCTCTCTCTCTAAAAACTTAATAAAAACATATTTTTTAAAAAAATTTAAAGATGATTACTTAGATGAGCAAAACACTGAGATGTAAGCTTCCTTCAAGGCAAAAGATAAACAAGCTCTTTTCACAGACTTGTAAAAAAGCAGCAGACCCTTTCTTGAACCCACATAATTTTACCTTTAAATAATTTATCTTTATCTTGTATACCTTGTCATAATCATCCCACATGTCTTCACTGTTTACCCACCCCTTCCCGCCTTCCCATCACCCTGTCCGCCACATGTCTATTGTCTTCTCTCTTAAGCACCCTGTTTCACTGGGCTGTGTATGGTCCACTCCCTCCGGCCCCTCTGGGACAGCATGGGATGGAGGAAGGAGCAGTACATTGGGGTGGGGCAGAGTCCACATGGAGAATCAGGCTTTGACTTTCCGGAGCCTCCTGTTCTTCACGGGTCAGCTAGGGATCCATCTCTTATCCCACCATATTGTCAGAGGAACCGAAGGGAACGTGTGCAAACGGTGGAGCTCATTACACAATAGGCCCTCAATAAATTTAAGTCCCTCTCTCCTCTCTTCCTTTTCAAAGTAGTCAGGATATAAATTATACATAAATAAATTACACGTTACACTGGAAATCCTCAGAGATGATTAATGTAACCAATAATAATTTTAATATTAATAGTAGGGGACTCCAGCAGCGCCATCCTAATTCTGACCATCAATCCACCCGCTCCAACGTTGTCATCCTGGAACATATAATGCCGCACGTTTACCCTAGAAAGAGGTGAGTGTGCAGGACTTCCCATTTTCAGATATTTTTTAAATCCTTTTGTACATCGGAGTCTTCTGCTACAAACCATGACTGATGGTGCAATGTGTACGCAATACGTTTGCCAAGAAATGACAGACTGTGACATGAATGGAAACCCCAGAAAGCTACAAGCAGCATCTGAGACGGGAAGTGAGGTTTCAGAGCATCAAGAATATGCTGGAAACACGGATTTCTACTGTGCATGCCAAGGAATGGACAGGCCCTTCCTGGAGGATGAACCCCATCACCCCCAAGACCAGCAGAAGCAAACTGAGGTAGGGGCTTGGAAGACGGACATGTCTGAAAGGGTTTGAGCCTAACTCTAACCCAGGTATCTCTGCTAGGCTTTCTCACTGACTTCTTTCAAAATTGAGTTGGGGTGAAAATCCTTCGAAGAAGCCTCATGCTCTGAGTCTGAGTGCATTGCTCCGCACTTCTCTAAGATCAGACGCCAGAGAGGTGTGCGCTTGGCCCTGGAGCCGGGCCGCTGGCATCGGCGTGTCTGCTCTTCCACCTGCGGCCGTGCCCCCCTGAATCTGTGACTCAGCTCCTGTGCGCCTCAGTCTCCTCACCCGGAAAATGAGGATCAAAAGAAGGACTAAATAAGGTGATGTTTACAAGGTCCGGGGCACAGTTCCTGGATGGCAGTGGACACTCAGTCAGGCATTTCTGTGTCCATGATGAAAGGCAGGTCACAGAGCGTCACCCTGGCCTGAACGAGCAGCAAGCCACAAGGCACCGGGTGGGTGCACAGGCTCCCGTACTTCTGTAGTGAATGCCTTATTCCTAAGTACAGTGAGGTCTCCCTAAACTTAGGTCAAAGCCCCAATTTCACATCCGGAACCCTCCCCACAATGTCTGCACTCTGTACCTGCCTCCTCTGCCTCCACCCTGCCGCGGACGCATGCATACGTTCTCCATGTACCAGCTGGGTGCAAGGACGTGCTACTCATGGGACGGGGACCTACAAGCCAATGGGGATCATGGGGAAGTAAAACACCGCTGCTCATTTGTGCTTCCAAGTGCAGCAAGGGCGTTTGGACTCTGACACGGCACTGTTAACGGAGGAGAAGAGGGAGAAGGGAGAGAGGAACTGAACTTTTGGTGCCTGTGTGGTGCTAACCATTGTAGAGATTTTCACATGACACATTAAGCCAACACTGCCAGCCCCGCTATCTAGTTTTACGGATGAGGAACGTACATCTCAGAGGGGGTCGTCGACATTCCCAAGGCCAACAACTAGTGAGGAGACTGAGTTTAGCACTTAGAGGGTCATAAGGTAATAACAGGGAATCGTATAGGGGCCCAAGCCTACTTTGCAAGACACCCCTAAGCGCTAACTAATAATTAGAGCCTGTTGCATCCTATGACCCACCACTGAAATTTGTCCTGAACCAACCTGAAAGCTCAGAGTTCCTGGTCCTGCCTGGTCCAGGGAGACCTACTCCAACCCCCTGAGCGTTTGTAGGTTGGGCGGAAGCCACCAGGGGGAGCCCTTGCATTAAGAGCAAAGGGAATTGGACAGCCCAGTGATAGGCTGGGGCGGGGCTCTGCATTCTCAGGAGAGCTTTTGCAGGAGTCATCACATTGCTTACAAATGTATCCGAGACATCCTTGCCTTAGACTAGGGCGAGGACCGGGTGTGAGGGAAAGTGGCAGGTGCCTTTGGCCTGTCCCTCGTTTAGCTTGGAGCAGTGGACTCCACTCTGATTGTGAGCAAAGCCCACAAGGCAGCGTGGATCTAATGTGAGACATGAAATCATTGGAGTGGGGTGTGCTGGCCATTGATTTTTTAAAAATAAATGGCACATCAGGGCCCAGAAAAGGAGAGAAAGCATCATTGTGATCACACACACAGTCAGAGTGATTATTTTTTTCAGGAATTTTTATTTTAATGTGTGTGTGTGTGGGTCTGTACTGAGCTATGATGTAAAAGCTCTGTCTTATTGCAAGTCATCGATTATCAAAACACACTGACCGAAAAAGCTTATTTAAAATCCAGGTTCCGAGGTCCTAGACCCAAACAACAGCCTCATGTTGAAGCCTGTGTTGCCAGCAGACTCCCTGGCAGCTGCGGTGATGCGCCCGGCGTGGGAACCACCGGTCAGGGGGAAGGGGCACACGGTGGGCTTTCCTCACCGGCCCTCCGCCTCCTCTCCTCTGCGCAGGGCAGGAGATGCTCTGCACTTCCTGCGCTTGGCCCTAACAAAGCATGAACGTCTCACAGGGGCGACCTGCTGTGCCAGCTTCCAACCCCAGGACAGGTGTGAGCTCTTGGAGAGCTAGGAACTGAGGATAGAGTTTCCAGTACCAGCGCTGTCAGAACAACAAACAAACCCAAATCACTTTGGAGTCAGCCAGACCTGGGTTCAAATCCTTATGCTTCTATTTTTTACCTGTGTGACCATGGGCGGGTTATTATAGGATCTCTCTGAGCCTCAGTTTCCTCATCTTTTAAATGGGTGTAACAGCTCTTCCCCGGGCTATGCTAAGATTTCAGTAGAATAATGTATCCCAATGCTTAGATAGTGCCTGGCCAAACACAGCAGCTCCCTTTCTGGCCTGCAGGAAATCTCCCTATGAACCGGGGCACGCTCTGTCCCCTTTGTAGCCATCCTCATGGGCGGGGATAGGCCAAGGCTGTTGCTGATGAAGATTACATTGTCCAACGGAGTGTTATGTACCAACAAGAGCCCTGCCATCCTCATTCCTCACTGACTCCCCCGCCTCGCACAAAGTGAACTCCGCTGGAGGGTGCCTGCTGGAGAGAACTGGGGAGACACTCTTGCCAGGAAGAGCCGGGCTCAGCTGGACTTTGAGGGGCCTCCCTTCCCCCCTGCAGGTGCCTGGTCCGGGGAAGCTTGGCGATGCAGGCGTCTGCATACCGCCCTGGCCTCGGGAAAGCTCCAGCCCGGAGAGGGGGAGGAGCCGCCTTCCAGGTGGGGCAGGTGCGGAGCCTGGACTCAGGTGTGTCCCAGGCCCAGAGAAGCGAATGCTTTCTGGCCGGTGCAGGCATCACAGAGGGCTCCCTTGGCCTCAGGATCCAGCTCTGGGAAGCTGGGCTCGTCTCCCAGACTCCGCCTCAGAGGACTACCATGGAGGGGGTAAGGCGTGTGGGTTTGGTTGTCGCTTTCTCTGTGTCTGTCACACCTGGTCTGGTTCCTCCCAGCAGGGAGCTGGGGAAAGGCTGCCCCTGCGCCCACCTCCTGGAGAGGAACAAACACCTCCTGTGTGAGTGCAGCGCAGCTCATGCCGGCCTCACTCCCGGGGAGATGGCCTGAAGCCGGGTGGTACTGTGTCCTGCGCCACCGCAGAGGGTAGAGGGTAAGGGGACAAGGGGCCCTCAGCAATGGTGACATGCGGGACCCCAGCTCTCATCCCACCAGCTAGGTTTCTAAGCGAGTGCCCCAGCCGGGTCTAAGAGCCTGTTAACTTCCTTTTGCCCCTGTGGACTGTCTCCTCCCGGGGGTCAGTGGGCGCCCTGGGCAGAGGGCATAAGGCAGGGCTGTGCAGTGATGTTTGTGCCTTTTCGTGGGCTCTGCTCTTCAGTGTGTGTCCTGAGGCAGGGGGCTGTCTGCCTGAGCCCCGGGCTCCCGGCTGCTGAAGGAGGATTACCAGCAGGTTTCATTCAAGGTCTTTTCTGTAACATTGCTGAGATGCCGTGGGAACTTAACTCCTGCTTATATCAATTAGCCTATGATAAAATGTGTTGTTCACAAGGACGGTGTTTCCTTTAAAGTTACAGAACCTGTCCATTAGTGTACTACTGGAATAGCTCGCTTGTGAGATTATCCCAGGTGCTCGTGAAAATGGAAATGGCCCGTGGAAAAGGGCCCAGCACAAAGCCGGGGGGTGGAAGCCCCTTCTCCTTGGACGGCAGCAGGCTATTTGCTCAGTCGGAGAATTCTTTCGCCTGACCGACCACATCTTGCTTTCCCTTCAGATTTCTTCCTCTTCTATTCCTCTCTTCCATAAATCAGTTTCTTTCCCAGGAGGACAGGGGTGTGTTTTGCTTCCATCTTTTCTTTATTACGCGTTTGGAATTGAGCGGTTTTCCGATGTGAAGCGCATCCTCCCTCCCGGAGGCCTGGTTTTACGTTGAGACAGAGTGTGGCCCTCAGGAGAAGCTCCCCTGTGTCCCAGGTCGTGGGACCCCTGTGTCTCTGTGGCAGGTCACGCCAGCTCAACCTGCTGAGTTTTGGAAAAGCGTGAGCAAGGGCAAGCTGGAGTTATTTCCATCTCCCCTCCTCCAAGTCCTCTCCCCCACACCTTGCAGATCAGCAGCCTTGGGAAAGCTCCCCCTTGGTGGGGAGATGTGAGGCTGACCAGGTTCAGTGTGGTTGTGGGAGAGAGAGGCGGACTTCTGTTTTGCCCTCTCTGATGTTCCAGGATATGCATTGGCGTCCACCATGTCAGCTCATCTCCATGGCAACACAGCATCGCCAGTGCCATTTGCCCCATCTTGTTATACAGGGAGGAGGAAATGGTCAGACTGTTATCACTTGCTCAGTATCACACAGCCGGTCCGCAGCGGGCTGGAGCATGACCTTAGGCTTGTCAATAACAAATACTCAATGTCGGTGATAAGCTAGGCATCGCTAGCAAGGATTACAGCAGCAACACAGGTAGAAAGTTAGGCAATTTGGAGAAAAATGTACAAAAGGGCATGTTAGCTAATAACATTTTTATGCGATAAGCTAAAGTGATTATGCAACTTTTTATGCTCGGCGAACAGGAATAAAGATCAAAAAAGAAATATGGGATATTCTTCACTTTATTTTATTTATTTTTTTTAACCCTCACCCAAGGATATTTTTCTATTTATCTTCAGATAGAGTGGGAGGGAGGTGGAGAGAGAGAAAGAGAGAGGAAGAGAGAGAGAAATATCGATCGGTTGCCTCCCATGGGACCCCAACCAGGGCCAGGGACGAACTGCAACCCAGGTAAGTGCCCTTGACTGGAATCGAACCCATGACTCTTTGGTCCCCAGGGTCGATGCTCTAACCACTTAGCAACCCGGCCAGGGTTTATTCTTCATTTTAAAAGGAGGATTTTGTTTTATTGTTTTGAAGGTCAACAAATACCCACTCAATATATTTATATATCTATCTATCTATATCTATATCTATATCTATCTATCTATATATTTATATTTATATACCTGCATTGTTTTCGGGTTCTGTTTCGGGTGCTACGGATGCAGCAGTGAGCCAGTCAGAAACGTCTGCCTTTTAGCACTAATATTCTGGCGGAGAAGACAAATACATGTCCATATGTATATGGCCAGAAGCACAGGGCGAAAGCACAAAGCAGGGAAGGGTTTGAGGATGGGAGGCTGGAGGAGAGGCTACTATTTTCAAAGGGATCACTTCTGAGGGAGGGGAGGGAGTTGATTATGAGGGTGTCTTGGTGGTAAAGGTGGCTAGAAATGGTCTGATTCTGGTCAGAAAAGGTAGAGTCAGCAGGATTTACTGAAGGATAGGACAAAGACAATGTGAAAGAAAGCGACTCCCAGGTGCAAAACCTGGGCACCTGGAAGAACTGACGTTTGATGAGATGGTTTCAGATGGAACAGGTTTGCAAAGAGATCGGGACTCAGTTTCAGACACTGTACCTCGGAAGGTGAGGGGCCAAGTAGGCTGTTGGATACTTGGTTTCTAGTTCAAGGGAGAGGCCCAGGCAGGTGGTGTGATTAGGATAACAGAGCTTCACGATCTAGCGTGATGCTGGGCGCATTGTCGTGTTTGGTGTACGCTACTGTGGTGGTTTTGAAATTTGCCTCCCCTTCTCTGACATTTCTCCCATCAAGAGGTAGAGTCTGTGCTTCTTTCCCTTGAATCTGGGCAGATTCTGTTTGGCCAATAGAGTGTGACACAGGTGACCTGATGTGAATTTTGAGGCCGTGTATAAGAAGCCACGCAGTGTCCACCTCATTCACGAGAACACTCCTCTCGCAGTCCTCTGCCCCCACAAAAGAGGTCTGCACCCTAAGGCTTTCCTGCTGGAGATACTAAGCCTAGCATCCTGGCATTCCCACCGGGCTAGACGCAGGGCCCTCCAGACCAGCGCCCCACCAGGAGATGCCACTGAGGGAATTTTATCAACACCCCGTGGGACAGAAGAATCGCCCAGATGAGCATTGCCCAAATTCTTAGCCCACAAAACCATGTGATATGGAAAAATGGCTATTGTTTTAGGCCACTCCATTTTGGAGGGGTTGGTTTTGCATCGATAGATATCTGAACAATTGTATAGTTTAGACACCCACACAGAGAAAGTTTGCTGAGTTTCTCTTTTTCTAAATCTGAGAGTGAAGTTCTATCCTCATGCGTTTCCCCTGCCCGGTAAGTTTTCCTGGTCACACAGTCTTGGCAAGAGAAAACATCCCGTTTCTGAGCTGTGAATGTTTTCGGGTGGAATGCTTATGAAATAATACTTTAATGAATGAGAATTGGAGTTGGAGTTGAAAGACCTACATTTATGTTTACTTCAGCCTCTTATTAGTCAAGTGATTTGAGCAAGTCAATGAATAGTAAAATATAGGCCATGGAAGATTTCTCAAAGACCCACTAGTCTAAGAAGCCCTGTTTTAGAGACGGGAGACTCAAAGCCCACAGGGAGAAAGTGACGACGTGCTTGGTGGCTGCCCATCCATGGCGCCTCACCTCCAGCGGATGTTCCACAAATGCGGTGGTTAATTTTGCGAGCAAACTTGGAGGCAGCAGATCACCAGGCCCCACTCTTTCATGACTGGATAGATGTTCACAACTACCTTCTGTGAGCAAGCCCTATCCAGACTTCTGAGGGGAGGCCTATTGCAGAGGCCGTCTAGTTGCCCATTTTTGCGGCGGGGGTGGGGGGGATGTCAAGAACACAGACACTTGAGCATTACATGAGAAGCAGAATGATGCAGAAAGGCCCCCGTTTCAGTGACGCCCTGAGAACGGGTGCTGAGCCCACATGGGTTCATCCCGGGTGCACTGGGGGACCTGGTATGTGAGCTGAACACCGGCGGAGGAGTGGGTAGCACTTCATCAGGGAAAGAGGGGCAGCGTGGGAAAGTAGCAGAGGTGACAATATGATGGGGTGAAAGTTCAGAGGATGCTCCTGCAGTGAGAGGTGGATGAAGCAGACATTTCTTTCTTTTTAAAAGTAATTAAAAAGAAAAAAGAGAGCAGCCAGCATCAAATCCCAGAAGGAAAATAGGGGCCAGATATTGAAAGACCCTGAATGCCTCTTACACTTTATCTCACAAACCAAGGGGGCCACTGAGGGACTTGACCTCTAACAGGGAGGTGAACTGAATGTTCCCCGAGGCCTTGTCATGCTCTGACGTTCTGGGCCTGCAAAAATTTCTCAAGGTCCTATACGCCTTGTTTTGGCCAGAGTTGTGTCTAGAACCCAGGTCCCAAATGCCCATGAAACCACTTAGCAAGTCCTCAAGAACAATTCTAGAGATTTTTGTCCTGAATAATCTGATTTTAATGAAAAAGTCACAAGACAGGGTAACATGTAAAAAGAAAAGTTCCAGCCAGCCAACTGAGAAGCACAGTACTGTAAAGAGGGTCTATTGTCAACGAGCTTACTCTTGGGAGAGCAGAGAGCCCTGGGGGTTAAGGTCAGTCAGGGGTGAGGCTTCTTAGGAGTTCACGAGAATTTCTGAGGAGAGAAAAGGGAGTATCATTTAATCAGCCACAATTCTGAAAGACAGGCTCCTCCCTCCGCCTTTGCGGAGACTCTACTGCACAGCCCCTGACTGTGTTCGATCCTGATGGTGAAACACACAGTGGCCTGTACACCTGCAGGCGGTGTCCAAGCAGCCAGTCCTCACCCAGCAGCACTGACCCCAGCACTCCCCACTGTTAGCTTCCCACCGAGTCAGGCTGTCTCTTCTCCCGACATATCACAGTCCCCACCAGAACGATGGTTGTAACAGCTGAGTCTGATGGTGTCGCTCCCCAGCTGAATCCCCTGCAGTGGCCCCCATTGCCTGCGGGGTAGAGCCCAGCCCTTTGCCTGGCTGATGGAGCCAAGGTGCTCCTCCTCCAGCCTCCCGGCCCACATCGCTGGGTCCCAGCCTGTTACTTCTGCAGGAACACTCTTT